ACAGACAGTTCTGTCCTGCCCTGTAGGGTCGCTCAGAGTTGGCGTTGACTCACTGGCAGTGAGTTTGGGGGTTGGGGCTGGGGGAGGTTCTGGTCCTTTGAAAAGCTGTTTCCTCCCGTGAAACGCCATCTACTCAGTCATCTGGGCCACAGCCTTAAGGCTGGGCTTCGGTACCCTGGTAACAAACAAGACCCCAGTTGGTGCTCCCCAGGCCCCGTGAGGGGAAGAGAGAGGTGATCGCCGAATTAGGATGTTACATGGGACCTGGGGCCCCGTACGCGAAAGAGCAGGTCAGCTCACGTGGCTGTGTCCGCAGCGCCTTTGGGGTCTGTGCTGGTCCCTGGGAAGTGGGGCTTCTGAAAAGAGGGTGGAAGGTGGGAAAAGCCTACACAGAGGGTGACTGAGCGCATGCAGCCTCGAGATGCGAGGAAGGCTGCCCCCACATGGTGTCTCCTGTGTGGCCCCAGAAGAGAGAGCCCGCCCTGCCCGCCCCCCGGGGTGGGGTGGGGGGCTTGCGTGGCGCCTGATGGGAAGCATCAGTCCAGAAAAGGCCAGAAGAGGTGCAAAGTTATTCTGCACCGAGCTCTCGCGGTTGCTAAGTAAGAAAAGGTTCCACGAGGTGGAAACGGGAGCACCGCTAGAGATGGGATGCAGAAGGAACACGCGTCACTCTGTCCTAGTTTGCCCAAGGTGCCCCAGGCTTTTGCCCGATAAGTCACATGCGTGGGAAGCCCCGAGACCCCGTAGATTGAGGGGTGGCCTCGTGGGTCACAGTCACGGTTGTGTTTTCACCTCAGCTCTGCCACCAGCCTCGGTCCTGGGTGAGCGATCTCTCCCCTGGGCAGCCGCATCTCAGACGTAGCTCACGGTGGGGTACGCGGATACGAGGGGGCTTCCGGAAGTCCGGGGAAAGATGGCACGGAGAGAGAGGGCGTTTACCAGGAGCTCTGCGAAGCCCCTTGGCACCCAGAGAGCCCGTTTCCGAGGGCCCTTTGTGCGTTTGTTGCTTTTCCTTGCTCTGGTGGAAGCACTCAGGGTGCAGAAGCTGGGGGCGGGAGGTGGGTGGCGTTCAGACGGGATCCGGGGGTGGCGGCGGGCAGCTCCCCCCAGCAGTCGCTTTCCAATGGTTTGTTCCCAGGAGGTCTGGACACGCTTTCTTTTAAAATTGTGTCTGATCTGTTCGTTCATTTGGTTGTCGCTGGTTTGCAATACACGAAGCCGAACAAACACGTCAACAGTTGGGGCGCGCACAACGTGGCCCTGCCAAGTGCCACCATCATCTTCTCTTTCCTCCACCAAACTGCTCCTCCCCAGCAGCCTGCACGTACTGCCCTTCCCGGCTGCTGTGCCCAGCGGGGTGCCATAGGGATGGTTCGTCAGTGAGCACCCTGCTCAAGGCAGGTGATCCTTACTGGTTCAGCACACCGATGGCTTGGCTTTCTCAGGACGGGTGGAGGTGATCTTGCCTTTCACTCTAAAACTTTGCACAGGGAAGTCGTTTTAGGGGGTTCGTCCGGCTTCCAAGCCTCCAGGAAGTCTGGGGGAAGGGGGTGGGGATGATGCGGAGTCTCTCGATATTCTTGCACATCACAGAGGGACCCCCAGAAGCTCTTGTGTGTGCAGATCGCTGCGATTGGTGCATTTAAAAAGCCTTCATTTAAAAAGAGCGATCTCATTGCCTACTAGAATAGGTGGTTTTTATTATAAAATGTCGACCTCACCATTCAAAAATGAGTGCACAAAGTCTCGATTCTGCCTAGGGTTGGCAGAGATGCTGGATTCTCCGCCCTCGGCCCCTGCACTCTGGGCTCTGCATGCTGGGGCGTCACATGTCACGGAGCCTCTGAAACAGAGAGAGCGAGAGCCAAGAAGCAGGTCACAGCCGAGTTATGCTGTGGGTTCTCGGGGACCCCCCAACCACACGGTTACTTGCCCCCCCGCCCCTTTGTCTGCGATGAGCCTTGATCCCTGCAGGGACCAGATGGGCTTCCCAATAACATGTGTGCTCTGTGAAACCCACCTGACAGGTTCTTTGCTATGAGGTGCCGCCGGGCACGGTTAGCTTCAACGAAGTCCAGTGGGGCCAGCAGCCTGCTTCTTGGGGGGACCCACACTTGTCTCTGTCCTTCCGTTGCCAGCTCTGGGCAGGTCTGCGGAGTTACTTGGGCTGGACTCAACGCAGCTCACGGATGCACTGACCCAGAGATCGATGGTCCTCAGGGGGGAGGAGATCCTCACGCCGCTCAGCGTCCAGCAGGTACGAGCTCGGTGCCCGCACGTGGCCGGCCATGTCCGGCTTCGTGTCAAAAGCATTGATTAGCACAGGCAGCCCTGACACGCTGCTTAGCGGCCTTCACCCACATGCCCCGAAGACGGGAGCCACTAAGGACTTGAAAGTGCTTAGCTCACCCAGTCGGTGAAACAAAAAATAAACACCTGCAGGACAGACCTCCTAAATCCACGCCAGGAAAGAGCTGTGCATGGGCACTGGAATGGTGGTGCAGAGGCCACAGGGTCAGAGGAGGGGCGGGAGCTTTTCACAAGTGGGTGTGGCAGAGAGGAAGGATGCCTGCAGTTGGGTCTTGCTCTGTCCACTGGCTCCCGGCCGGTCTTGAGAGCAGGGCCCTTGGTGCTGCACTGGTGACTGCTCAGCTGTTAACTGGATGGTCAGCACTTCAAACTCACCACCCCTGGGCAGGAGAAAGGCGGCGGTCTGCGCCCATAAAGACTGGCACTCTCAGAACCTCGTGGGACCCTTCTGTGCTGTCCTGTGGGGTCACTGTGAGCCAGAGCCAACTGGGCGGCACAGAGCGTCCATTCCTGGACCGCTTACGCTCAGTGTCACTGTTTTCCTTCTGTGGGAAACGAGAGAAGACACCGTCTCTGCTCTGCCGGGTTCTCCTAAGGATGAAAGTCTGAAAATCAACGCCACGTTTCTAGTGGCTACCACCCAGAGCACTCACACATTAGCTGTGTGATCCCGTTCCTAATTATTCTCCTTACTCAGGAACACATGACCACGGGGTGGCGTATTGTGTATTCTTTCCCTCTGCTGCCACCTGGGCCCAGCTTCCCTGTGCTCCCAGCTCAGAACGGTGAGCAGAGAAGTGGAAGGACTAACCCTCACCCAGAGAAGGTGTCCATACGTACTAGATGCCCAAGCCCACTGCCATCCAGTCGACTACGACTCACAGCCACCCTCGGCAGGGTTTCCCAGGCTGTAAGTGTCCACTGAGAGCAGACGGCCCCATCTTTCTCCATTGGAGTGGCTGGTGGCTTTGAACCACCAGCCCAGAGGTTAGAGTTCACAGCACCACAAGGTCTCCTTGTGCTTCAAGTAGAGTATAAGAAAATGCTGCTGGTGGGGGTGAAAAAAACAAACAAAAAAAGCTCAAACTTAATTGTTTGCAACCCGATGAAAAGTGTGCTGGTCTACCCTGGCCCGGCTGTCTCCTTCCGTGCAGCTTGGCTTGCAGAGTTGGATATGGACGCTGGGTATTTGCAGGAGCCCTGGCAGTGCACTGGGGCTGCGTGTTAGATTGCTAACCGCAAGCTCACCAGTTAGAACCTCCCTGCCATTCCCCTGGAGAGAAATTAGACGTCCGGCTCCCACAAAGAGTTACAACGTAGGAAACCCACAGGGGCAGTTCGGCTCTGACCCATAAGGTCACTGTGCATTTGGAGCTTTTCTTTGGAAACGCTACTGTGCAGCAAAGGAACTGGTCCCACATCACCCTTTCTGTAGACACCTGCATGTTCCTAGGGAGCACCCTGGTTTTACCCACAGCCCTTCAGCGGTGTAGAAAGTTAACTCGGTAGCCACCAACAGAAAGGTGGGAAGTTCAGATCTACCCCACGGCACCTGGGAAGAGAGGCCAGATGCTCTCCTGTGAAATCAGCCCCCAACAACCCCTTGGATCACAGCAGTTCTACTGGGACACACATGGGGCCGCTGAGAGCCGGGGGCGGGTGCACTCGCTGCCCGAGGCGTCTGTCCCCCCGCAGGCGGTGGACAGCAGGGACTCCTTGGCGATGGCACTTTACGCACGCTGCTTCGAGTGGCTGATCAAGAGGATCAACAGCAGGATCAAAGGCAAAGAGGACTTCAAGTCCATCGGCATTCTTGACATCTTCGGATTTGAAAACTTCGAGGTATGGCCCCTGAGGGCGGCGGCCCCTGACTCTCCTGCCCTGTCTCTGGACAGAGCTCTGGAAACACACTCGGGCCTTTTTGCTCTGTGGACTCGCTGTTTCATGTTCCACCTCTGCTTCATCTCTGCAAATGGTGGCATACGGGGCTTCCGACTCCCGTAGAGGGTTACCATCTGGGAGACTCTCGGGGCAGTTCTGCCCTGTGCTGTAGGGTGGGAGTAGTGGGCATCAACCTGATGGCAGTAAGTCTCGTGTGGGCATCAGAAGTTGTCAGCCGGGCCACTAAAATCGCCTGTTGCACATCTCTCCCCCTTTTAGGTGAATCACTTTGAGCAGTTCAATATCAACTATGCAAACGAGAAGCTTCAGGAATATTTCAACAAGCACATTTTTTCTTTAGAACAACTAGAGTACAGCAGGTAAACTCGAATTCCGGGCCCCTCCTCCCCACCAAAAAATAAATCGTTGTATTGTTGGGTTTTTTTCAATCAACCGTAAAGCTGCGTGAGAACCAGGCTGGCCCTTCTCTGTGCAGGGAAGGCCTGGTGTGGGAAGACATCGACTGGTTCGACAATGGGGAGTGCCTGGACTTGATTGAGAAGGTAGGCAGTGTGGGGAGAGGCTGGGCCTTGGGGGTCCAGGTGGCGGATGCGCGCGTACGGGAGAGCGGCCTGTGCGAACTTGCAGAGCACAGCGGGCCGTCTGGAAGCCTCCACGGGCCTGGGAAAGGTTGGGTTTACACACTTGGCCTCCGCAAGCTCTATTGTCTCCGTGCACCTCGCTGTGCGTGGGCCTTACCTAGATTTCACCTTGGCACCAGATGCCTCGCCCGGTGCTAACAAGTAGGTCGTCTGCCAGTTGTGAGCCTCTCCTCCTCCAGCGTGCCAGTTGGTTCGGTTTTTAGAATGGTCTATTGATAGGGAATTTTCATCCATCTGCTTCCTTTAGCACACATCCCTCCAATCCAGGAACTCGCAGTACCGCTTTGAACTTGAGAGTTTGGTGGGAAGGGAGGCGGGTGGTCGCTGCTACATTCTTGCGCCCTACATAACTTCTCCTTCTCCAGAAACTGGGCCTCCTGGCTCTCATCAATGAAGAAAGCCATTTCCCACAAGCCACCGACAGCACCTTACTGGAGAAGCTACACAATCAGCATGCCGTAAGTTCGTGCCAAATAGCCCCCGTTACGTCCAGATAGCAGGTCTGAGAGTTAAGGTCACAGGCCAAGGGTTCCAGAGCTGCTGGCTTTGGGCTCCTGTGTGTAGCTTCCCCACCCCTGCCCCAAACCAAAGCTCCTCCCTTATTGTCAAAGATACCTTGCTGTAAGTCACAGGATTATATATGGGCTACATGTCAAAGTGGGCTCAAACTTGTTTCATGGGGACAGAATTGAGAATTTTCAACGTACTATGAAGAGGCTCTGGTGGCATAGTGGTTATATATTTGGTTGCTAACTGCAAGGCTCACGGTTCGAAACACCAGCCGCTCCGTGAGAGAAAGACGAGGTTTTCTACTGTAAAGAAACTCCCATAAAGTTAATCTCAGAAACTCACAGGGACAGGTGTGCCCTGCCCAGTAGGGTCGCTATGAGTCAGAATTCACAATGACAGTGAATTTGGGGGTAGGGCGGGGAGTGTGAGAAGGAGCTGTGGTGGCATGGTGGGTTACTTGCTGAATTATTAACCCACCAGTTACTCCACAGAAGAAAGTGAGGCTCTCTACTCCTGTAAAGAGTTGAAGTCTTGGAAACTCAAAGGGGCAGTTCTACTACATCTATGGGGTTGCTAAGAATCAGAATCCACTTGAGGATTCTTGTGAGTGTTTGCGTTTGAGATCATGAAGAGGAACTCTGAATGCAGACTGGCATCTGCACTGAGCCTGCTAAACACAGGGTCAGCAGTTCTAATCCACCAGCCACTCTGAGGGTGAAAGGTGAGGCTGTCTGCTCACAAAAAGATAAAAAGTCTCAGAAACCCCACAGAGCCGCTTTGCTCTGCCCTATAGGGTCAGTATGAATCAGAATCAATTCGATGGCAGTGGGTGTGGGTTTTGGGGCCCTGATGGTACAGTGGACTATGTATTGGGCTGCTAATAACAGGACCAGCAGTTTGAATCCACCAATTGTTCCTCGTTAGACAGATGAGGCTGTCTGCTTCTTGAAGATTGACAACCTCCGATACCCTAGGGAGAAGTTCTGCTCTGTCCTATAGGGTTGCTGTAAATCAACTTAAAGCAATGGGTTTAAATTGTTGTTGTTTCAGTAATGAATGGGACAGCCCAGCCTGCCATCGGGTTGACAGAGGCGATCAAAGGCTGTTTTCATTGTCTGTTGAAGTGTATTCTCACTGTACCCACCTACCCACACTGCCATCAAGTGGATTCCGAACTGCCCCTGGAGGCTTCCGATGCTATACATCTTGACATGAGCAAAAAGCCTCATCCTTCTCCCAAGGAGCAGCTGGGGGGTTTGAACCACTGGCCTTGTGGTTGGTAGCCAACCCTTACCCAGCATGACCACCAGGGCTCCTGTTGGGAGTGCCGTCCCCGAGACATCAGTCCGTGAAATACGCTGTTTGCATTTGTTTTTAGAACAACCACTTTTACGTGAAGCCCAGAGTTGCCGTGCACAGTTTTGGAGTGAAACACTATGCTGGAGAGGTAACCTCTTCGTGACTCAATGCCGCGTGTCCCATTCGGTGTGCGGAGCAGTGGGACTGCCAGGAGCCAAGTCCACGTGTCGGGAGGGTTCTGGGGAAAGTGCCTGGCTTTTTAAAGGGGGTTGCACGTGCCTGCAGTGGCTCCTTTCCTCCACTCACCCCTCTCTGTTTGATTTTTGAACACAGGTGCACTACGATGCCCAGGGGATCCTGGAGAAGAACAGAGACACCTTTAGAGAAGACCTTCTCAACCTGCTGCGAGAGAGCCGGCAAGTCACGTTCCTTTAATAAAAAAAAAATAAACCAGACTCAATACCATCGAGTCCATGTTGACTCACCATGGCCCTTTAGGACAGAGTAGAACTGCCCTTGAGGTTGAGACTGTAGCTCTTGACAGCAGTAGAAAGCCCGTCTTTGTCCCAAGTGGCGGGTGGTTCTGAGTGCTGACCTGCCTTTGGGATCACAGCCCAACGTGTGAGCACTATGCTAGGCCATGCCCCCAAACCATGGCCTCTGACTCATAGCAAGCTCAGTAGGTCAGAGGACAGAGTAGTTCAACTCCTACTGCCCCATAGGGTTCCAAAGGCTGTACCTCTTTACTGATGCAGACGCCCACATCTCTCTCCCTTGGAGCAGAGCAGCTGCTGAGTTCGAACTACCGACCTTAGCAGCCAAGCACATAACCACTGTGTCGCCGGGGGGCTCATTTGAAAAGTCATTCATGAGTGAATCTGTATTTGTTCCAATGCTTTAGGTAATGAATATAGGAAATGTTACTCTTGGGGAGGGAATTGGATTTAATATCACCCTGAAGTCAACAGCAAGGGCAGCGATAATGACCATAAAATGAAGTGTTCTTCCAAGAGCTATCCCTGGATTCTCTCATTTAGCCTTTACAGCAATCATTCCAGCTTGGGTGCTGTGCTTAGTCCTGACAGGCAGATGAGGAAACTGAGGCAGGAAGCAGTTAAGTGACATGCCCCAAGCCCCACAAGTGGTGGGCTGTGGAGCCTACTTTTGACCTGGCCTGCATGGCCAGTATGACCTCATTTCTGCCCAGCAAGCCCACAGCTGAAATGGATTTCACAGCACCATGGACCTGGGCCTTGGCTTCGTAGTTCCCCTGTTTGTCCAGTGAGTGCAAGGGATGTCAGGGAAAATAAACGAGTCGTAATTCAGCTAGGATCGTAGATGTTGGGAGAAG